CAAAACGAGTATAAAACTTAATAGTACCTGATTCAATAAGTTTAGGAACAATAGACTCTTCTAGTTCAGTCATTAAAATATTAGCTAAAACTGGGCCAAGAGGCGAACCCATTGAGACACCATCAGTAAACTCATTGTTTGTGGGGTTTACCAATACCGGATTGAATTTCTGGAAAATTGTGATTCCGCTTCCTTGAAATTGGCCACAAATAAATTATTTTAGTATTAATAAATGCATGGTTTATGTTGATTTATTGATTATGTTGTTGCTATTTTTTTAACATTTAAATGGAAAAAAAATAAAAAGTGTTATTCATGGCTTTTTTTTAATCTTTGAATATTTTATCATTGAATATGTAATTTCTGCAAAAAGTAAAATGTAAATGGCAATTTATTTGATGTTAGACTACTTTTAAAAACTAAATTATTTCAGTTTAAAAAAATGTATATAAAGATTTTTAAAAAATCAGTTTTAATACAGAATTTTATTATTGGGGCCATTTTTACCGGGGCCATTTTTACCGGGGCCATTTTTTCCTGGGCCATTTTTGGGCCATTCTTACCGTACACCGTATAATACATACTCCAAGTATCGAAATGCACTACATCGTGTCGGGATTCAATATTTCGACATTAATTATGTCATCATTAGGAATGATCTTATCTGATATTAATCAGTGGACCTTTCGGTTAAATGGTAGGCATGTGGAAATACCATCGAAATATATAATTATTGTAGGGGCTTCATGATTGGAGGAAAAATGGTGGAATAGTGTGTTGCAAGACAATATGATTTTGTAAGAGTACATCCCCCTTATACCGTACTTACCTTCCCATCCAGGTAGCCACCAGCTCACAGCAGACCATACTTTACTTAGGGAAGATTGTTCGCCTCCCATCCTAAAATTTGAAGAATACAGTAGTTATTTCAATCGAGTAGGATGTAGTTTAAACCTAGTCAAAACCTCTCCCTTTCTATTTTATATGCTACCAGAGAATTTGATAACCCCCACCTTCAATGACTATTAAAAAATGTGTATTAAAATCGATTTAACGGGATGCTAAGCTTGCTATGAACTGCTTGGAAACAATGACTATATTACTGTTTTTTTCAGATACGCCAAAAAACACATTGTCCTTGAGAAAAGTGTACTTAATCCGCGCCAATGCGTTTCAATTAATTCTGAATACATTCGCTGGTGACATGGCTATTCCTACGTGTTCATCGACATGTTATCGGCCAGGTTATCATGAGTAATCAGTTCCTTTGTACGTGCTTATCGACAGGACATGTAATAGTTGTTTCACCATTTTATTGACTACAGCATAGCAATGCAGCAGGGTTGCCAATAGCACCAAATTGCCAATAGCACCAAATTCCCAATTGACCGGAGATTGCAGCCAGCGCCAGGTTCCTCATTGGTCGGGGGACTGGTCATAGGGCCAGAGAAGAAATTTAATAAAATCAACATTTAATGTTATTCATGTTGTAAAACACGGTGATCCATATTGGAAAAATAAATCACTTCGACAAATGACATTATTATTAGGCCTATAACTATAAGTGATATAGGCCTATTGGACACTAGTTTGTTTTATTGTAAAATATTAAAAACAACTTTTAGTAGGTCACAGGCTGACTGAATGCAGGCTGAGCGGCCATCCCTTTTCCTCCATAAATATCTGACAAAACAAATATATATTCTATAATATGTAATATTCTATATAATATTATAATATATATACACAATGGTGTATATATAAGATGTGTATAAGAGACAGCTCTTCTAGTTCAGTCCTTAAAATA